TTAGAGAGATTTTACATTTACACCTTACTACGGAACAGATTTATTACAAAGTTACAAATTAATCTCACAGAATTCTATCGAGAACTGTGCTGCCTTATCGCAATCGCATGACTAATTCAGTAATTGAGGATTTTCCGGATACGCGGAAGTAGGACATTTGAACATTGAAAGTGGTAAACGCCAGAACCATGGTGCAAGTTCTGAATTTGAAATACCCCTAAATTATTTATATAATAGCCTTTACAGAGCTTAAATCTATAAAGTTATTTGATTCATAATAAATATGTGTCCAAAGTGTGAATGTGATATGCGAGTCGGATAAACAGCAGTGAGACTTTTGGAAGAAGCAGGGCTTTTAAAAGCAGCAGGGCCAAAGGTTTTATCACCTATATAGCGCGTGCTTTTTCTCTTACATATTTTGCTCATTAGGCAGAATACAATCAAATAAAATAGTGAAGCAAAAATTTTTCGCAGATGGCGACCCGCAAAAAAACAGAACCTTTTGATTCCAAGAACAACCATCGAAACCAACACTAAGACTCTAAGACATAAAATATAGAAGCTGCGATGAACTTACGTATCGTTGGTAATCGATTACACGAGTTCTTCAATAACAAAAATCGAAATATTGAACTGTAGATCATTGAGTTGAGAAGTTTCCTGACACAACACATTTTAAATGCTAGCATGAAAAAAAATTGTGACTTCGTTTGTACGATTGATCGGGTTTTAAATTAAGTTCGCTCTCTATCTTTGGACTCGCTCTCGCTGGACTTTGGACATTTCTCGATAGAATTCTGTGAGCTGTATGTTTACTGTGCAACGTGATTCTCAAGTATATGAAGTATATAAAAATAGAGAGCGAACGTCATTTAAAACCCGATCAATCGTACAAACGAAGTCACAAGTTTTTTTCTGATACCAGCTGCAGTTCATTTACATTTTCTGCCCGAACACTTTCTTTACTTTGCACTGACCCCCTTACTATAGAGGAATTGAGAAACATAGCATGGAAAAACCCAGTACGCTTCCGGCATTGCCCCTCAATGGAGAACCCATGTATTATTTCACGGAACTAAGAGCAATCAATAATAGCGCTCTGCTATGGGCCACGGCGCTCAGCGGTCTCCAGTCGGACGCCTGCAGTGTGAGTCGTAACAGAAACAGGTCCTGGGACATCATTACGGCTGTCACGAGGTCGGTTAGCGCGTAAGCAGAAGAAGAAAAACCTTTTGCTCGAAGTAAATATTTAGCGTAGGGATTTGCTCTCAATGTATGAGTGACAAATTTATAGTTCATAAATATGAATTACGTACATTTAGATAATTTAGATAGATTGCATTTAGATACATAGATTACAGAAATAAATTTAGTCAAGCCACGCATGAAAATAATAAATAAAAATACCCGAAAGCAATCAATTAAACCATCCATTACTATCATTATTATCAAATTCATTGTTTGTATTGTATTATATTGTGCTATCATTATTAAATTTATTTTATTGTTCTGAATTGTATTATATCATTATTAAATTGTTTCATTGTTTAAGTATACAAAATTTTAAGACACCTAATTTTACATTCATTGCTAAATAATGATCTAAATACATCAAGAAATTGGTTTGTGAAATCAAATTAAACATCATTTGCTTATGTTGCATGCTCATGTAAATTTAACGAAATAAAACACCGCATTCTGAAAATAAAATCCACATTAAGTGGCAAATAAACTAAGTATGCCAAAACCTCGATGTCAAAGTATCTACTATCGATAGCGTGCATATACATAGCCAAGTTTTTTTTTTCAATAGTGGGCGACCAGTTGACAGGCTTATACCATCGTTCGTCGATTCCGTGCTAAGAAGTTTGCTGAGGAGGAGGCAAGCTTCCACGCTCAACATACTGTATTAGCCAATAATCAATGTGCACTTAAAAAAATATTGCACTCCAATAAAACTTCTAAGCACGTGTCATATTCATAATTATTTTGGTCTCAATTTCAAGATGAGTTTCGTGTTGTATCTCAATAATATTGTAATAGAATTGTTATAGGAAATAGTACTGGGAGAATTTTCACCAGAAAAAACTGTTGAAATAAAAGTTGGTTTTCTGTTAATGAAAGCACTGGCTTTATAATTAGTGAAATGATATTAAAAATACTCAGACTATAACGGTAGCATATGCAACACATAGGTTAAACATAATCAGTGGTAATCTGTAAGCTTGGAATCTATGTTTTGCTTGACATCATTTAGATATTTTTTGAAACATATGCACAATTTAGGCAGTAGAATTTCTTTCACTGAAGCAGAATTTATTTATCGACAGCAAGACCATGCAGGATGTTGGTGAAGCAAGAGCGTTGTAGCTTGACCTTTAGATAGTAGTAATAAACTATTCCCTTATTGCCTCTCATGCCCTCGTGACAAATGTCATCAGTTCACGTTACAACGATTTCTCATCATGCAATAGTGCATCTGAAAATACAATCGAAGAAGCAATCTCTCACCATCTGTTCATAAATTGCAAATACGTGAAACACTGCGCACACAACGTAAAATTTAAAAATATTATAATCATTGAGCCATTCAAATACAAGGTAACTCTATTTGAAAATATTGAGAGTATTCACGTATCGTGCTTCTGAAGAACGTATTGTACCATTAAAACTGTCAAGAAACGAACAAGCTTTCAATGGCCGTTGTCAATACCAGAGAATAGATTGATTATTGATGCTGTCATCTTGAAGCTATCGAGAAAAAGCTACCACGGAAGCCTGAAAAGTTCACGATTCTCGTCTTCAAACGAGCATTGAATTCAGCTAGCTTCAATCGTCGATTGAACTATTGATGTTGAACCAGTACTGAGTAAGTAAATGCCGTTACATCTTGTAAGACATGCCAGCATGCCTTTAAAAAATTTGCCTAGACCGTATAACTAACAAAAACGAATGATTTAAACTGCAATGAAAATTTATTAAACTCATACAACTATGAACTATTTAAGATTAATTAGCTAATTCAATCAGATTCAAGCACAAATTTAATTTCATTCAGTGTAAGACGGAACACTTGAGGATGGCTGTATTTATAACAGACATTTTTTATTTGAATTAATTGTGAAGATTTTTTTACATATAAAGTTAAATGGTATCAGCTGCATTAGAGAGTACACACGCATATGTTCTACACGTTCTACAGTAACACGCATGTTCTTTGCTCGACAAGCATTAGATCTTAGTTTTTGGCTCAAAATAAAAAAAGAAAAAGGAGGTACAGCACCAATGTAGAAATGGATGAATTTTGTACTGCTTCCTAGTGTCATACCTGCTGAAGTAGTAATTGCATTAACATTGAAACTTAATCTTAGGTAACATTACACGTAACCTAAGAATAAACTGCAACTGTAAATAAAACTAACTGAAATTAACTGTATCTAGAAGTTTAAAATATTAATGCGTCGGTTGACATCACACGTGCTTAGCTCTTGTGAAAAGTTGATCTCATTGCGAATGCGTGCTCGTTTGTGGAGCTCAATAGAGCTGTTACCCCGCCATGAACAGAGTCCGTATTACATATTCCGGTACCTGACCGTTATATTCAGTCCTATTATATACAGAAAATAGTCAGTCATATATGGCTGAATACACGTTATATTTAATTTAATCGACGTTACGATTAAGTACAAATTGGGAAAGCACGACTACCCCTATGTAAATGTTTGACTTCGTCAATAAAAATCAGCCCATATAGAATTCTTTGCAAAGAATATATTTAATAAATATCAATTAACTTCTTTTATGTAAAGAATAAGCCAGCCTAAAAAGAAAGGAATGGGAGGTTACAGTAAATATTTATTTGATGTGTGAGACTTTTCTTCTTGCAAGTGCTCTAAGTTTTCTAAAGTGTCCGCTAAGACTTTCATCCTCACTCTTCTGACAGCACAAGCGCTGCGAGTTTTGTACAGCGAGTGCCCGCTGGAGTGCTGCAAGCGAGCTAAGACCATCATTCTTCCTACTCACGCGTCTGGCGGCGAAACATGGCTTCGATGATGCTGTTCGTCTTCTTGACGGGTGCGCATGTCTATCGATTATTATAATTTTCTCATCATTCATCTCGTAAAATGAAGGATAGTTGTGATATATTGGCTTTTCTAGCGTGTCTATATATTTCAATTGTAATAAAGGAATTAGGATATTTCAAGTGGGGAGAATAGTAATCGCTTTTATCTACACCGCAGCAGGCATAAAGGCAAATTAAAAAGCTTTAACAGCTTCAAAATTATCAATAAAAACGCAAGTAATGTCATAAGTGCTATTTTTTTTCTTTCGACTATTGTCATGACCGTATCAGTTGGCAGCCTCGTGAAATGGAGAAACGAGTTTACTTCACTGTATGGGCACTTCATTAATTTTTAAATCAGATAATTCAATAATTTAACCCCTACTACGAGCGGTATTTTATGCAGGAATCAATCAAAATGAACTTGACCTGATTAACTTGGCTCGTGCAATGCTCAATCTACTAACTTTCAGGTTTCATCACCAACATGCTTGTTGCGAGTGAGCTGTACACAACATACGCACCTCCCTCGGATCCTTCAACGCCGTTTTTCAGAGGGAACGTGACCTCAAGCACTGAGGATCGGTCCTTGCCTAATCCCCGGGGCATCACCGCGTGTGCACACTTCAGATTGCACTACTACAGAGTTCCTCTCACTGTCTTCATGCAGATATTTGATAGGAACACTTCAACTCACATCACTGTAGGTGGGTTCAATTTATCATTTGAAATAATGCATTGCATCTGAATTTGCTAAACATTATCGCTTTGACGAATTTTTCAAGTGGGGAAATTTCAACTCTTTTGGGATGAGGCCTTCTTGAAGTGTGAGTACTATTCACGGTTCTCTGGTCAAAATTTGTTCAAAAATACACCTTGCGTATTTTCTTTCTTCAGGTGTAACACCGCGCGGACAAGTTCTTGTTAGAGACGAAAACTTTACATTCAGGACGCAGGTGCCCGAATTGAATGTGGGTGTTTTGAATTGGACGCACGTGTGCTTGGTTGTAGCTTCAAACTTTTCACATGTCGTGGTTGGTGGCGTTGTTGCGCAAGAAAAGAACATTACTAGGAATTTATTGGACAATTTCATCATCAATATTGGCGCGGAGAGTGCGCGAAGAGGTGAAAATATCGAAACCAATGGCAGGTTTGTGGGAGACATTTCAATTCCTGAAGTGTGGCACGAAGTTCTAACGCATCAAGATATAAAAATTTTAATGTCTTGTCGCTCACTAAACATTCAACCCAAAAGGGTACACTGGGATCATCATGGGGAAATTTCAAAATCGCTGAGCCAAGATAGAAGCTTTCCATGTACCAGTACAAATTCTGAAATCATTGTAGTCGAGGTTGCCTTTACATTTTCGGAAGCTTATTCTTTCTGCGCATCACTAGATATTGATATGGTTGATATTCTTAATGAAAGAAACCTAGAATCAGTGAGAACTTGTTTAGCCGATTATTCAGGCCAGTGTTTTGAGAACGGACGAGGAAGCTGGATTGTCCAGCGGACTGATCAGACCAGCGCCTCAGCAGGAGCTTGCTATGCCATCACTGCAGCACTAGAGCGTTCAGTCTTTCCTTGCGCCTCACAGCATTGCGCCCTATGTAGTTTGAGGAAGACAAGGACGGTCTTCTACATGCGATGGGCCTACCTTGGAGATGAAACAGAGTTGGCTTTCATTGCTGCAGCCTCTGATAATAATTATTTTTATTTCCAAGGTGTCGAAGGGCACGTAATAGAACATAAAAAAGATAAATGGATTTTGAAAAGTTCTTTTAGAGGAACAACTTTGGCTGAACTGCAAAACAAGAAAATAATTGGGTCGAGAATGTGGACTGTCAAAGAAAATTGGGATGAAAAAGGTAAAGAAGTTGAACTATTAATATCATTTAACAGCTGCAGCAATACTCAGACGTGGTGCGCTTCAGGATCTTGCATTTTACCTGAAAAAATATGTGACCAAGTCAGAGACTGCGACGATGGCAGCGACGAAATATCTTGTACAACACATCAAATCACGGCTGCTCAGAAATCCTCTCAACCAACTGAAAAAATAAATTCGATAAATTCAAAACCTGCCGAAGTGGACTTTGATGTTGAAGTGCTGCGATTGATCAAAAAATCAGACGAACCATTGCAAGCTGTGATCAAGCTGAGCATGACATGGACCAACACTGAAACTGAGTTCCCCAGCATCAAGCATGGGCATTCCTCAAGGCTACCGGACTCTTTCGCTGCGTGGAAACCTTCGATCATTCCAGAGGGGCTTCCTCCTAAAGCAGATTCTTGCATAGGACAGGAGTGCGACAATCCTTCCTTGCTCACGGTCGTCACCTCACAGACAGCTTCATTCAGCGGAGTCGACTTATCAGGAGGTAATTTGGACATGTTTCTTAGTTGAAGTTCACCTTTCCAATTGCCTATCAAAATTTTTAATGGAACACAATTACACAATGAGGGTTTAGCATGAGTTTAGCTTTTGTCGATCAAGGCTTATCCAGGAAGTCTTATTATATTAATTCTTATTCATTTAGGAATTTCAAAAAATGAGATGAGTAATTCCGCGTTTATTAGATATTTTTCAAGTAATATCATTAATTATCCGAAATAAATTATAAGATATTGATTGCGATAAATTTTCATTTTCAGGTATTCTGGAAACCATTTTGCATGTATTTTCAAATACAAAAAGAGATTATATTGATATATTGTCAATTTACTCGTGTTCAGTAATCCATTTTTTTATGAATTTTCAAATAACAAGAAAAGTGACTGCAATAAATTTTAATTTTCTTGTGTTCAGGCAACCCTTTTGCATGCAGCTTCACTAGTAACGTTAATTGCTTTCATTAAAACAAATTTACGGGCCTTCCTTCACAGATAAACTTCTCAGGAACGTGACACTTCGTTTGACCAGACTGTCTGTTCACTCGTTGGACTGCGGCGGCGAGTATATGACATTCTTCCCGTTTGAGCAACACGTATGCGAAATAAACTTCAAGACGAAGTATGAAAATTATTCCCTTAAGTCACTTTCAGCAGCTCCGCCTCCTGGGTTCATTCCCCACTTCATTGTTCTTAAAGTGCTGATAAAAGGGTGGGGAAGCCAACAAGATTCCATTGGCTTCTCACAAGCAGTGTTAAAGATTCACGTCAAACGGCTTACCGGGTTCTACGTAGTCGTTGTCTTCATTCCCTCGTTTCTTTTACTTATGCTGAACAGCATCTTATTGTGGGTGAAAGATCCCCATGAATACCGTCTCTTATCGAGCACATTCACTGTTATATCCTTTTTAATCATGTGGATGATAATTGTTTCCAATAGCCCCAATAGCAGCTCCATCCGTGCCATCGATGTGTGGATGTGCTTCTGCCTCACACACTCGATCCTACACGTGATCGTGAACACAATCATCAGGGCGTTGCTGGTTGGCGACGACGAAACGCGTTCTCGGCGCTTGTCCACTTTGAGCTCGAGGCCATTATCCAGACTACGGCAAGTGAAGCCGCTTGAACTTAACAGTCTCTATGATGTGCTTCTCGCCAAGATGGCCATGGAAGAGAACGAAAACAAGTGGACTCATGCGTACTGGGTCATGTTCTGTGCTCGGATTGTGTCTCCCGTATTGACACTACTTTTTATGATATCATTTTGGCCTTTTGTTGTGTACTTCTCACAGGAAAATTTGTAAACTGCCTTTATTTAAATTTCACTGTGATAATGACAGTTCGGGAGCGCAGCCGTGCACCACCAATTTTGTACACCAATAAGCCCTGAATCGAACGCCTTGGATCTCTCCGGACCTACACCAATCAGCCGTGCACCACTCGGCTTTGTCCTCTTCCGGCCTTGACCACCACCTGCCGTGCACCACAAGGCCGCGGATCGAATATGACTTCCAGGCATCGTTAAATTACGTAATTTTTCGTTCACCGCATATGTGGTTAGGTTTCAGATAGCATAGTTCTATTCCAAAGTTTATCGTCCTTCGACAAGTGCCTGTTCGACCGAGGGCTGGTTTGACCCACGGCCTAGATACGGACGGCTTGAAGTGTTGAAGGCTACGTTCCGGAAGGCAGGAATCATGATGGTCCATTACATCCAGGGCAGTGCTTGTGTAATTGAATTTCTCAATTTGATGGCTGGCGTCGTAGAAAAGGGAAAATTTATTTTGACTTTTAAGTTCTATGGCTATGCAGCCAATCAATCAAGATGACCAGTCGAGACTCTAGCCATACAACCCCATTTTGAATGAAAGATAAATGCCCTAAAGTATTCGAAACTTACCTGATAATTTGGCTCCAGATGAGATGGTTCCTTGGCGAAACTACTTTAAAACGACTATATTGAATATATCTAATGTGATGTATTTTAAGCACTACACTCCGCGGCATCCTCTTTTTCCACACAAATGTTGCCAGATGATATAGGTTTGGCAATTAGCCCAAAACTATGTAGAGCTCTTAGAAAACCGGCAAAAAAGTTTTGAGCAGAATAAATTTGCGCGAACTTTCAGCAGAACTGTAGAACTATCAGCAGGACGCAGTATAAATGCATATATGACATTTGAACGCATTATTTGTCCTACCTCATATCTGGTGATGTTCCGTTCAAAGAAGGAACAAGGTTCTGCTTCTGGCAATCGGATTCTTATGATTTTCGCTAATTTATGAAGTATTTAAATGGCTTTAGCATTGAGGAAACTCAATTCGACTACCGTGATTTGCACCAAATTATTCTCTTTTCATCAGATTCAGAAATGTAAGAGTACCTGTGCAGAAGCTTTATCAGTCGCATCGATTACATACGCCAACTCGCAGATTAGGTTAAAGAGAGCATAGTTATTTTTTAATGCTACAAAATACTGAAACTTTACCTGACTAGGACCCAACCTACGAGGTGTACGTGAAGTTGGGTTTTCCGTATTAATAAAAACTAATTGATGTAAAAATCATAAATAAATACCTCCACAGCGCATTGATAATATCTACTTATTTTTTAAATTTGAATGAAATCCGTTCAGTATTGATGGATTTATGGCTGGGGGACATGAACATAAAGTTAGGTTTTCCGTATTAATAAAAAACTAATTAATATAAAAATCTGAAATAAATACTTCCACAGCGCATTGATAATATCTAGTTATTTTTCAAATTTGAATGAAATCCTTTCAGTATTGATGGATTTGTGGCTGGGCGAGTTTTATTGATGGATTTATGGCTGGAATAGTTGAAAATGAAGTTAGGTTTTCCGTATTAATAAAAAAGTAATTGATGTAAAAATCTGAAAGAAATCCGTCCACAAACTATTGATAATATCTACTTAATTTTCAAATTTGAATGAAATCCGTTCGGCATTTACGGATTTATGGCTGGAAGAGTTGAAAATGAAGTTAGGTTTTCCGTATTAATAAAAAAGTAACTGATGTAAAAATCTGAAATAAATCCGTCCACAAATGATTGATAATATCTACTTAATGTTCATATATGAATAAAATCCGTTCATTAATTATTGATGGATTTGTGACTGAAAGAGTTGAAAATGAAGTTAGGTTTACCGTATTAATAAAAAAGTAATTGATGGAAAAATCTGAAATAAATCCGTCCACAAATTATTGATAATATCTACTTAATTTAAAAATTTGAATGAAATCCGTTCGTTATTGATGGATTTATGGCTGGAAGAGTTGAAGAGTTAAACGTCAAGTTAGGTTTTGCATTCGAGTGCGCAGGCCAGTTCGCAGAAGTGTCTATATTCGGTTGGAGATGTTTAGGTAGCCGAATCGTATTTCATGTGTGGAGAGAATTTGTCTTATTTTCGTAGCATTGCTGTGACAAATAGCACAACGAACATCCGAGTTGAATATTATGAATCGCTAACAACTTTTAAAATTTAAAACAAAAAATTAGCCAAGGCAGTAAAAAAACGCGGGTTTTTAGTTGCTTATATATTGCTGGTAATAATATGTAACAAAATGATTGAATACAAAGTAATCAATAAAACTATACACAAGTTTGCATTTCGATTCCATTTGGCCTTTCAGATACGTATGCTATGGACAATCGTGCACAATATGTAATAGATAATATTCGAGCTATAAATTGTGCGTATTATTTATAAAAAAATATTTTCATGCTTATGTTTTCGAGTTCAAGACCAACTTGTCGAAGCCTCAAATTGCAGTCAATTTTTGCCGTGAGATAGGTCAGAGGTTTTATCGTCTGTATTCTTGACAGGATAATTATACAAGACGAGATTATACATGAAGCTACAGGCTACAAGAGCGATAGAATGCAATACATTAGCATGTAACTGTTTACTCTTCACCTTGACCACTGATATAGTGCAAGTCTAGAGACCGACGGTGGGCTGTAGGAGTGAAGTTACTAAATTATCTAAAACGCAGCCCAAATTCAGGCGCGGTAAATTGACTTGCAAGCACATTTGACGAATGAGATCAGATAAGGAAGAAAGCAAGGCGCGGAATTTGAAGCCCCTCTCACGTAATTTATCTCAATCCTTTAAATTAGCAGGTATCATTCAAATTTCATTTTTGCAACTCCAGACAAGGAAAAAATGTGCTCTTCGAGCAGCTTCGAAGGCCGAAGCTCATCAAACTATTTCATCGATACGAAGAGTTGATGTAAATTTCTCACAATATTTTATCAGATTTCTGATGCCTTTTTTCTTTAAATTATTAAATTATTTATTTTTAAATGCACATATTCACATAAATGATGTTTCCTCCCATCAAGTACGGCAAACTTAATCGTAATGACACATTAAGCCAGTTACGGCTCCGTGCTCCCAACCACTGCTCCAGGTACACAAGCGCTGACACACAAATGATGAATTATGAACAACAGGGAATGATCATTGCGATGAGTGAGTGATGATCATCTCACGCTCAAGATCAGAATAGTTAAGCAAAATATATATGACCTTCGAGTGAGACCTTAATTTCCCTTCTTGACGACACCGATTATGTACACTTCAAACACAAAAAAAGAGACTCTGTCAATTAGAGACGAAAGAAAACAAGCAGTTTTTCACTAGGTATAATATTTATACAAACAACAATGTTTACGGCCGCATGACTGAGTCTTGTTTATTCTTCAGCCTCTTCGACCAGCAGAAAAAGGCTAAGCTTTAAGTAATCCAATGGCGGTAAAAAAACAGAAAAATTAAACCAGACTGGGACATCATTGCAGGTCGTTCCTAGTCGCTGCAGGGGCGATTGCTTCACTTCAAGGTACCGTTTGTGGCCAAGTTGGTTATTTTCTGGATCATGTCGTTAAAAAACTCAGTGGCTTGGGTGTCTGTCATTTTATTGCCGCAGTAATCGATAGAGACGTATAAACGTTTTCTAAATGTGTGGCAGGTGTAGGTGAAAAGGTGACCAGCCTGCTCGCCGTTGACGGATCTATAAATGTCGCTAATATGTACTGGATCTTTGGCATCAGAAGTTCCCACTAATTCTGTCACATCGCCCATATTGGTTGTGATGTAGTGGCTGTCAGTGATGTTGCAGGCTCGCTTGCGGTTGCGGTAAATGTTGAAGGGGAAGATTATGGTAGCCCACTTAATTATTGGGATAACTTTGAGGCAAGTTTTCTGGGCGATGTCTTGATGAAGTTTTTCTTTAATTGTCTTAGCCGTCCCCCAAAAGTCCACCATTTTTGCTGCTGACACAGTCGCCTTTTGTTCGTACATCGTGATGTGACACCCGATGTGTTCTTTTTCTTGCTGAGGGTAGAAACGTCGAAGGTTGATGCAATCAGTATAGTACATGTTGACTTCCTCGACATTCTCTTTGGTCCTCTGCCGTGCCACGTCGTAGTAGGCAACGTTGGCAACAGTCACTAAGAAGGAATGTACTGTAACGCTGTTTTCTTTGCACTTTTTAATGAGGTTGCTTGTGACGTCTTCGGGGAACACGTGCTTTTTCACTCGCGTCTCTACTGCATAATTCTTGGGAAGCGGAACGAGACCCTTGAACGTCGTCTTTTTGTTGAAGTCAAAGACGATGACTTTGAAAAAGCGCTTCCAGAAGTACGCTAGTAGGTAGCTTTTCGTGGAGTCTACCAAGGGCTCCGCGTGAGGGGCGCTCAATGTATAGGACGGGGATGAAATGGGACGATTTTGCAGCAAGTCGTTGATGATATTGACAAGCTCCTTGCAGATGATGAGGTTTGTTGTGGCATCAGTGATGACGTGTAGAATCCCGAAAGCAATCATTGTCTGGTTTTCGTCGACCACTCCACGTGGACTTTCTTCGTCGGGACGCATGCGCACCATTCTTACTTTCCAAAGAGGTCCAGTGCTGAGGTTGTAAGAGGAAGCCTGGACATCGAAAAGAACTTTCGCGGTGTCTTCGTCACAAACTTCGAAGTCGATGACAGTTTGTGCCATCCGCTTGTACCAGAAGCGAGTGCCTCGACGGTCGATGCACGTGCTCAATACGGGGATGCGTCTGGGAGAAAATGATGACGTTTTAGTTAGGAAAATGGTTAATTGTTAAAGAACAAGGACTTATTCCAAGAAATTTCCACCATTGTGGCAAGATTACGCGTTAGACCAACAATTGCATCTTAAACATCCTTCAGCTCGTCAAATTGTCGTGATGTCATCAAGAATGGTTCGTTTTGATAGGATTATAATAAAAAACCCAGGATGACAGAAGTAGAAAAAAACGCATTAGTATGAACGAAAAGATATTCAATTGACCATGATGTTAATTCATTTTTAAGCAAAATCATACAATTCAGGTTTCAAAAGGCGAAAGCTTGTATAAGCTAAGAAAAATTCGGTGCGCTCTAACAAGCTTCAAGGCTCACAGGATAAAACTTTACACTTCACGCTACACCATTCAAACCCTACAACGAATACTATTATCACTATTAGAAACTCACAGCACCAGAAGATCAAGAGCCTGACGAACAAGCTGCCGTGTCAAGGGCTTCTCGGAGGTGACGTAGACAGCCTGGACGGTGTTGAGGCTTCTCAGCCACCCACCGATGGCGAACATCATCTCGACGCCTCCCAACGGCCTCATCCAGTCTCCCGGGCCCCATTGCTGCATTTTACCTGCACACACAAGAAAAATTCACGTATAATAAACGTATCACGCAATTAAAATCTCAGGTGAAAATACGTATCAGCTCGAGCAGCAACAGAAGGTCTCCTGCTCCCACTGTAGCATGTATTTAAGTTAATGACATTAAAATTATGCCCTTTAACTGGTATAGCTCAAATGATAAATTATAAATGCAATTTGAATACATTTTTGTTCATTTTTTTACATGGCAAAACTTGATAAATGTGTGATGAATACAAGCGTCTTATTCGGACAGCAAACGGAAGTGTAGTGTACATACAAAAGATTCACGACCGACCAGAACTCGGTTCATGTTGGTTGAAGTAGCCTCAAATGATATTTCGGACCCGTTAACGTATGTAGGATATGTGGTGTAATGCCATAAATTGAAGATAGTTCGAGCAAATGAAGATAGTTTGTGTAACTTGCATATAGTGGACTCATTCAGTAAATCATATAGTGGACTCAACATTTTCTCTATATCAAAACTTTTGAGCTAGCTGGTTCAACAACCAAACCTAAAATGCGATGGTTTATTAATCGTTATGTGAGATCAATGTTTTTTTTATCATTATTCAGTCATTTACTCAAACCAGCAAACAATGTATACAATTACAATTTTGACAATATTATCTTTTGATAACCAAAGCTAATTCTTTACTGAAAGAATCATCTTGTGGTTGATCGATCCAGGTCATAATCAGCGGTGGAGATAGCCATGGATTCAGCCGGGTAGAAGAATGAAGTGCTTTTAAATAATAATAGTATGACGATTTTAACAACGTTGTTTGGCTCCAAGCGCTGCCAGATTAGGTTTCCAAGTACTACGTCTACAGGCTGACATCATTGACATCGAGGCTATACACTGTACAGTTAGAAGCGTCTGTTGATCCACTTGCTGAGATACAGAGCGTTGGTCGACCGGACCCCGACCTAAATAAGATAACGTGGGTGCATATCAACGATCCAGAGCTCGCAGGTCACCACTTAGCCCTCAGTCGCCAAAAGGTCAGGCTGCGTGGCTGCCGCAATGCCCGAGCCGACGCTACTTTCGAACAGACCTGAGCCCAACCTTACGGCGAGGAGTACCTGCGAAAAGCTGGATCTCTTGTGTTATTAAATGTGATAGGAAATTGAAGAGAAAAGATGAAGTTCAATTTTATATAGGCATATTTATGACACAGAAATGTGATAGCAAGAAGTTGCATGGAAGATTATTGCCTCCTATTATTCAATTAAGAAAACCCGTCATGTTTTTAGACTCGCTTCTATGCACCCAAGTTGATACCTCGTGTCAAATTAATAGAATGAAAACTACGTACATGATATTAGTATTCTTTAATTGCATTCCCAAACTTTACCGTCATTTTCCCCTGAGATGAGGAAGTTGACGGGAGTAACAGGCGGCATCCCCTCGAGTTTGTTGGCAGGGTTGGGGGCGATGCGCCGACACTCCACTGCGGTCACCATCGCCTGTAGGTAAGGGCTCTTCAGCTAATATCCCAGAGAGTGGCTTTAAAACTGCATTATGGTTAAAGAATGTAAACTTTTCGAATAAAATAATTTGTCAACTTATGCATTGAATAGTTTCATCCGCAAAAATGATTGCCTATCTATATATAATTTATGTCTGCAGTTATTTCTGCTCAACAATTTTATAATTTTGCAAAGTATTTCCCGCGCTCAATGTTGCATAAAGTTGCATAGTACATTAGACAATACAGACTTGACATTACGAGGATAAACTAATTTTAAAACATAAATAAAAAATACCGAGACGTTTCAAGCTTTGCTGTTCGACGTAGAAGAAAAAAATCAAATTAACTCTCAATCTAAAAAAAACGTATGAATGCGAACGTGTGACTTACGAGTATTGCAATTTTGCCGATAACTACTGAAATGTAGAGTAGAACCAACACCCAAATGACAGTCTTGACAACGTGTAGCCAATGGAAGCTTCGTTCATCAGTAGTTGGGTTCTCTGAGGGCCTTTTCCAGTCAATGGAAGAGGGCTCAGATGTTGCGTTTAATAACTTTAGTTGCGAGGTGCTCGAATTACTCGAATATTCCGTGAGAGGTCTACGACCAAGAAAATCTGGGCTCCTGCCAGAGGAGTTGGTCGCTACGATAGCAGTGAGGATGTAGGTGATGGGAAGTGATGTCCAGATTGACTGGTTCCGTGGGACGCCCGCTGAAGTGTCGAAGTTGTGCTCAGGGGAGCGAAGTCCCGACGAGTTGTGGAGGACAGTTGGGGCGGGGCAACACGCAGGCTCAACCTGGAGGAAATATAATAAAAAACATGAATAAGCCTTAAAGAACACGCATGTTTTTGAATGAAAAATTACTGGAGCCTAACCCGCATGCATTATTTACATGTGGTGCGTTCAACGGATAAAACGTGCGACAGCTGATCGAGTCAAATGCTATCTCATGTAACAAAAAAAAAAGAAAAAAATGTAATTCACAATTCTTACAAGGTAAGCACGGCCTTTTTAACAAAATATTCAAGCGAGACAACAACATGGGATAGCAGATAGCTACCGCGTTTCATTGTAGTATTCCAAATAATGTAGAGCATCAAGTAGCACGCCCAATTAATGATACAGCTCTAGCTCCCTGTCAAGGTTTCTAACGAGAGAAGATGACCTTGTTGATCGCGATGGAACCCATACTAGGCTTTAGTTTAATCAGACTGTCTACAATGTTCATTGTTAAGTCAATGGCCTTGGCCTTCAGTCGGCGGTAACCACAGGCAAGAAAAGCGCCACGCTACGAGCGTTAATTTTTGGTCCAGCGTTCGCGACGTTCGGCATACCACAGCATAGAGAGTCCAGGAAACAGATTGAGAACAAAACATGAAGCAACAAAAAATTATACGAATTTTAAAATAAGGAAAATTAGGCAAGAGAAACGATAAAATTGAAAACCAGAGATGATCGCTGAACAAAAAGTTCTTGAAATGTTAGTAAAGACTTACAGAGATATGGTGCGCGTTAAAGTAGAATTTTTTCTTGGTTTCCTTTTTTTCTAATTAATTGGTTTGGAGCAGAACTGCAGTCCAGCACATAGATCACATTTTCTTAGTAACGCGTTTTGATGGAATATCTGGGAAATTGATAGTCATAGACAGAAGGGTATTAAAACTTTAGCAAGGGATTTAGCCCTATGTCAATTGAATGTTTATTGACATCAAACGGTAGGAAAATTAAACAAAACGTAATTTTTCGTTGAACTATGAAAAAACTTGCAACGAAGCTGACTTTTCTAGGACTTTGAAGCCAAAATTTGAATTTATATAATAAATATGTAAAAAAAATATGCAGACAAAGATTTCGTAAACGTACAAGAATTTCAAAGAACAATTATCGGGATTAAACAACTGCATTTCTCTCAATATAAAATATAATTAATTTATAAATCTCGAAACTCAAAGCCGTGAAACGAAAAGAAATCCGGAAGGCCATTATGCTTTGGCATTAAAGGCGACTTCTAAGGAGCGCTTAAAGCGAGCATGTTTAAAGCGGGCGCGTATACGATGAACACTTAAGAAGGCGGGTGCGTATATGGCGGGTGCGTATATGGCGAGCGCGTATACGGCGGATGCGTATATGGCGAGCGCGTATACGGCGGATGCGTATACGGCGGATGCGTATATGGCGAGCGCGTATACGGCGGGTGCGTATATGGCGAGCGCGTATACGGCGGGTGCGTATATGGCGAGCGCGTATACGGCGGATGCGTATATGGCGAACGCGTATACGGCGGGTGCGTATATGGCGAGCGCGTATACGGCGGGTGCGTATATAGCGGGTGCGTATATGGCGGATGCGTGTATAGCCCGAGCCTCTATAGAGCGCGTTTACATTAGCGGGAATATATTGCATACGTGTTGTACATGTGGTCATTGGTCTGTGTCCTTCTGTGTACACATTGTTTGGGTATCTAAAGTATATGTTATATGGTTTTGTTTATCCGCTTGATCCCATCCATCAATTGGAATGCTGTGCCACCTTATTTCAACGGTAAATAATAACACTTACTTGAGTTAAATACATATCTAAGATCATGAATTCACGAATTGATAATTTGAACATGCCTCAAAACTGAATATATGTTAGGATAGGTCAATTTAGTAAAATGAACAAATATGCATAACTGAGCAGCTAGTATTCCAATGAACTTTAGTTGTAAAGTTATAGCGTATATAAATAAATGAGTCACAGCTAATTACGACCCGTCATCCCACGCAGTCTTTGTCCCAACACGAATCAGAAACAATACAAGTAGTAATGATCGAGCCATTAATACGGTGAGCGGACCACTGTACTAATAGTATAAGAATTGGACTTCGTATATCAATATAAAACGCGGTACTCACGACGTGAATGTAATTTCCAGGAACTTTTCCTCACTCACTTCCACTTTTTTTCCTCACTCACTTCCGGTCTTCATGGTACGTTGGATGCAGTAACGTAAACTGAGGGTCAAACCAAATTGCTATAAGCGATTTCCGTTCGATATGAGTTACATGTCAATGATATCAGAAGCCGCCTATCTTACGCGGTCTTAGCGACTCGAGGCACGTTCTTAGTCTCAAGAGTGAATCAATAATGCATGCGGCAGATGCATGTATAATGCCCAAATTCATGTATAATACCCAAAGTCGGAAACAGTTCGAGCGATTGTTCAATGCGTGTACATTTGATCAACTGCTGAATCTAAACTTCTGCTCTACTAGTGTTCAAGTATTTGTTTACGAGTGTAAAAGCTTGTAAATGCTCGTACAGGCTTGTAATCGCTTGTAAACGCACAAGTGGCGGGCGCGGAGCGAAGTAAATATCTAGGCATATGCTATACTAGTGCAGAGCTCAGCATTGCCTTCTAAATATGGTTGCCTTCTAGAATGATTTAGATCGCCATCTAGACATCTGCTCTACTACTGCAAAGTTCAGAGTCGCCGTGTAGAAATTGGCTCTACTAGTACAAGTTCGGAGTCGCTATCTAGACATGTGCTAAGAGTCGCCATCTGTTCAAAACAGTTCCGAGTTGAATGGTGCGCTATATGAATGTTTCTACGTTGGACTGAAGAGTGATTAGTGACATCAATTTCATGAATTATTCTCTCTTGATAATTTTCTAACGCTCTACATTAAAATTTTGTTAGAAACTTGCATACGGTGCTATCCAGTATATATAAAAAAGCGAAAAGACCGTTCTTTTAACCAAACGATTGTCTTGACGTAGCGAAGTGACACCGAGTACCGGTAATTAGGATGAAAATTTGTCACCCGACATCGGTAATTAGGATGAAAATTTGTCACCCGTCATTGTGACAAGCAAGCGTCAACAAGGAACTGCCCGCCGCCGCTGCAGCAGCCCGGAGCGTTATTGCGGTTACAGAGAATTCAGGGAAAGTTGTTCAGTGGATTAGAAACCCAACGCAGACTATAACTGATTGAGTGGCTGGCCTTTTATATATTAGTACATGATTACCATCAGTGCGTCAAATCAATCTGGTACTGATTCATTATTCAAGGTCTTCCCATAATTCACTCATGATTGAACGTAATTGACTTAACAAATGCTCACCGTAGCTCATTTTAACAACTGGATACTGATGACTAATTTAGAGGCAAGTATAATATAAACGCAGCTCTCGTCAAAATTCTATCAGCTCTTAACATTTGAATTTTTAAACGTAACAACAGAAACAATGAAGTATCAAGTATATACAAGAAGAGAATTTTCTACCATCGACGATCATCGATCGGATCTCACGTAAATATAAATATAGATTCCTGAATTTCCGACACTAACTAAAGCTTCTATTTATGTAAGGTGTATTTAAAAGGAGAACATCGCTCAACCCCAATAAATTAGAAAAATCAATAGTATGGTAAGCTGCACGTTTGCTGCGTTGTTCGGCCTGACATTTTTGGATATTATGGTTATTACAGTACAGTAGTCGATTCAAGGGGTGGCAGAAAATGGGACACAGGCAGAAAGACTTAGCTGTCGCCAACAGTTAATTTAAATGTTTTCATTGTTGATCGAAAGAATTTCTTGAGCTTGACTCAACGATTGAACAAAATTAATGGTGTGCTAATACCACCGACAGATATGAACAAAGCCCGTAGACACTTCATATCCATGTGATATACACGCACGTAAGTTGCAAGGACACCAACTTCCTCCTGCGGTTTGTCAGGCTTCCGCTCGCGGTTTGCAGAAGCCTTTGAATAATTGAAGGAATTTACAAGCGAGTCCTAATCACGCCACGGGGACGGGAACACTGCTATATATTAAATCGAACAAAAATTCTAAAAATTGTCCTTGCCATCCTTCCTGAAGATTAATTAAGAGTTAATTAGTAATACCAAGAGCGCAGAATCACGACCAAGATTGCCTGCAATATTTTTAAGTCTTTTATATGGACCGTTAGGCCACGGATTGATCGACGGGTCTGCTAAACCCGATAAGTAAAGTATGACTCGTCAGATTTCCGGTTGAAACTAAAATTAGCTGTAGGGTATAACACGCTCAACCAATCACCAGCGTCGAGATAGCATTCGGAAACAGGGTCAACCAGTAATAAACTTCAGAACAATCTAAAGTTTCTTCAGAACGAGAAACTTCTGGGAATCGAAGGCCAAATACTTAATAATGGACAAGTTTTCGCATTATCGAAAGTATACCTAAGTACACGTAGCCACAAATTTAACTGTGATTGGTGGGCTTTGCATGAAAATCCGTCTGTTATTGACTGACAGAGATACGAACATGTAACCATTTTTGGAGCACGGCCCCTCAGATTAGGATGTTGAAATTAGTTAGTTTAAATAAGTATTTAAAACAAAACGTACGTATTCACGGATACTTTCCCCATCTGAATTAATCGATCTACATACTATATGCTCAACAGCTATATAACAACTTCAATGATCAAAAACAAAGCTATTAGATTCATGACACATACCTATGAAATCACATACCTAGATTTCATGACCTAATTTCACTTTAAACCTCTCCATTTAAACACTTAATCTTCCTGAGCAAAAGTCAAATATCGAACTAGTGCAGAACAAGGCTCTCATACTGAGCTTGAAGGCTAGGTACGCTAACTTGGCAAACTACAGCAAATCTCACTTCACGAACCTCCAACATCGCACTAGATCCAAACAGCAGTATTGACGCAGGTAAAAATTATGCACCCAGCACTGTCATACATTTAAAGTTCCTATTTTTCAGGACATTAGTGCCACATCTACCTTTTGCT